AAAATTAGTTTCTAAAAGTATAAAAGGATTTATTAAAGCCTACTGAGTGTTTTAATTAAAAATAACATAAATAGCTCATTTACTTGAATATCTAAGATTATTCGACATCCTGGTCATAATACTAAGGATTGCATACTTTTGTGGTCTCATCATGAAAAAATGGTTGTTAACGATCAAAAGATTGCTTTCATTGGTGGAATTGATTTATGCTATGGTCGTTGGGGTGAGTTACTATCTTATATTAGATATCATATTGTTTTCACGTACATCATGCATTGATTTCTACCAAGAAAATAAAAGCATATGTAATACAACATCTGTTCCAACACTGATTGCATTACTATGAGTATTTACTATGGCACTAACTAAATTGACATCAACATTGTCTGCAAAAGTCAAACACTAACTCTATCAAAACTATGCTTTTTCTATATCGTTCCATTCCGATCCTTGATTAACACTGACACTTGTGTGCACTAACTATTGCAGTTGCACAATTCTGAATGTGTCATTGAGAGTGGATGCTTTTATTTCATAAATTATAAAACATTCTTCCGGCGATAATTTTATATAATTATTTTTTAAGAAAAATAAATCATAATAGCCATCTGAATATTTTCTTCACTTTTAATGATTTTTCTTGAAAGATATTCTAATGAGACATTACAGTATGAAGACAAAACTGTATACATTCAAATAAACTATTGCTAACGCGAATGTCTGGCAAAGTTACTCGTAGAAATTTTGCCTTGTCAATTATTTAAATGTAACGTCATCCGAAATGAATTAGCATAAATAAAGAACCTGTACTTTGCGAAACTAAGTATTAAGTTACGAGTTGTCATTTTTTTTATTGCCAATCGTAGCGACACAAATGGCTACTACCAAAATGGCTGAACAAGCTAATGAAGCATCTATCAAGGTAAGAAAACTAAAAAGAGAAACAATAAGTTTTCGGACACGCTTGTATATTTTTTATATTTATTGATTTGCGAAGCAGAAATAAGAGATAAAATTTTTCTTTTTTCATCAGTAGATATTCCTCGATTTATATAATTTTCAATATCAAAACTATGACTCTGGCCTATCATCTTGAAGTATGAGACATTGTTTTGTAAAAACAATCGGTTTTTCGATGTATGCAGGATGAGATGTTTTTGTTTCTCATACTAAAGCATTCAACTNAAGTTGCTTTCAATGGAAATTGGAGTGGAGATAAAGGATGTAATGGAGGTGCCAATTGTCATTTTAACAGTGGCTCTACTGGTGCAGTACTTCTTGTCTATAATCCATTTAGTAGAGGACTGACGACAGCTTCTATAGACAGTAGTCAAACAATAATTCCAAGTATCTCCATTTCAGCACCATCAGCATGTTTAAATTCATACAATGAACGTACAGTTCGAGCATCAGGAGATTATCAAACTGAATTAGGTAGTGCAGCCCCATGGTTACCTACAGAAGCAAATAGTTTAATGATGTTCGATGATACATCTTGTCTCTATTTACTTACTCTTTCTGGTTTGACACCAAATAAATTCTATAAATGGAAAGCTACTTTTGATAATTCATGGTCCTGTAGTATTGGGTGTGGAAATGGTGTTAATTGTAAATTTTCAACAAATGTAGCTGGTACTGTTGAACTTATATTTGAGCCTATTTCAAAACAATTATCATTTCGTCATCTTGTAACTGTTTGTGGTAATAGTCCATGTGAAATAGGTGAAACATGTCCAAATGATTGTGATATATGCCCAATATGTGGAGATGGTATATGTCAAAAAAGTGAAATATATAAAACATGCCCGCAAGATTGTTCAAATGAATTATTGGGATGTGGAATCTTTAAAGAAGAAAGTTGTACTGATGATTCACAATATCATGTTACAGCAGGTGTTGAAGAAAAACGTTGGCAAACATCAAAACCCGGTACGAATGGTTATCAGTCATCATTTCAAGATTATCATACACTTGTTGGCTATGCTGACATTATTTATACAGATACTAATCGTATTGCAGCTGAAGTTTGTCTTCAAACGAAAAATCGTCAATCAAATTCAATCACATTAACTTAATTTTTTGATGCAATTGCACAAACAACAAAATGTAAACATTACACTAGTGTATATATTGGTATTTTATCAGCTATTATAACTAGAGGTGATGGATCAACATTAGAATTACCTGAAATTGATTTTATATAGAATGCTAAACCAATTTCTAGTCGATCAGATGATTATCGCAATGGACAAAAAGGAGCTATAGCGGAAATGTTTGGATGGCCACAAGTGTATGATAATCTTGAAA